AGGCATGGGCAAAAGCCTGGCTGTGTGAAGAAGGGTGAGCACCTCGCTGCAACCCACATGTGCACACTCCTGCACTGAGTTCAGGTGACAGCACAGCTTGCACAGCTCCCAAACTTTTGGAAGACCCGTGTGTGTGCCTGTGCCAGGGCCCCAGGGCATGAGGCAGGCTGGACCAGGTGACCGCTGGTTTATGCTGGGGGTGCACATGGGGCACTGGTGTGTGTGACAGGCACAGCAACATATACGGTGTTTGCAGGAGATGTGGAGCATCTCTGCATCACCCCGGCAGGCTCAGTGGCTAGGTGACCTACCTCTGCTCCTGCATGGACACTGGTGCTCAGGGAAGGCGTCCCGCAGTAGTCATCACCAGGGAGGACACAGCCTCAGCCTGTGCTGACAGGACACCAAGGTCCCCTCCCTGCCAGATGAGAACCGGGGGGGAGACAATTTGGCAGAGTTGAGCTGTGGGAGAAGAAGATAATCTGGAGAAGGCTGCCAAATTGTCTGTCCAATTTCCACTTATCCAAGTGCAGCAGGTAGCACCTCTGGGGACCCTAGGGTTTGATTAAACCCCGGCTCATCAAACAAAGCTGGTGAAGTGCTGCAATTTTCTTCCCCAAGATGGATTTCCTCCAAACCGTTTATTAGGTATTTGGGTTCAATCTGTGAAAAGCTAGTAAAGCTGCTGCCTCCATGGTGCCCCCCCAGCAGACTGCAGGTGTTCCAGAGGATGCACCGGACAGGATCTGACCAGCTAAAATGGGGAAGAGAGAGCAAGGAGGGAATGGTCAGCACCTAAAGACTTCAGGACCTTCTCTCCATGCTGAGAAATGACAATGCCAGTGTGTGCCCTTCGCAAGAGTGGCTGTGGGAGACCTGTGGGAGACAACACAGCTCGGGGAGACCTGCCGGGGGTTGCTGCTGGTCCCCAGGGAGGTAAAGCCTGCAGCAAGCTCCCAGCACCAAACCATCCTCCCAGGGCAGCTATGGACCCTTCCCAGCTCTGGCTGACAGGAGCAGAGAGCAGCAGGCCAGGCAGCAGCGGGTTAAAAGCCTGAGGTGGGACTTGGTGAGCTGCTTCCTCCCATCAAACAATACTGTAGCCAGGGAGAAGGGATGCAGGGGGCTCTGCAGGGCCAGATAGTGATGGAGCAACCCTGGCCTTGCAGCTGTGGCCGTGCCAGAGGAAGCCTCTGCACATTATCTGCTGGCCTCACTTGGCTTCCTTGTGCTGCAGGGACGGGGATGTGCTTCCTCCTGAGCCGCATTTCTCATGCACCCAGGCTGGATCCCAGTACTTCGATGGCAGACTTGGGCCACAGCACCCTCCCGGCCCTGCACCCCGCAGGGAGATGCAGGTCCCGATAATCCAGCCTTCCCAGCATCAGTCTATCCCACCACTGGTGGCTCTGGGAACGGTCACTCAGGCGATCTGAGCCACAGGACCTCAATGCCACCCGGCACAGAGATGTCCCCACTGTGACCATCCTGCTCCCCTGTCCCCCCATGCCACGGACAGTGCTCGCACCTTGGCAGAATGAAGAGATGTTTTGGCTGGAAGAAGTTCCTGCTGCAGGGATCTCCAGGTCCGGGCTGAGGTTCCTGTGGTTCTGGTTGCCTCTGCTCCCTGTCCTTCCCTGGCCAGCGAAAGTCTGCTGCACCTGGAGCTGCTGCAGCTGGCCACCCTGGCCACACTGGCTGGTGTCCCAGCGCTTCCTCGTGTGCTGGCTGTTTGTGACCTGCCTCCTGCCTCCTGCTCCACCTCCGCAGCCATATCTGTGTCACGGGAGCAGCCCTTTTCCGTTCCCAGTCTCCTCTTTTGACCCTCTCCTCCCAGAGCAGGCTTTGCTTTTCACAGGGGCTCTGCCTGCTGCTGTTTGCCCCACTCAGGCATGGGATGTTGCCTCTCAAAATGGGTCTTGCCCTGATCCTGGCAAGTCCTGGCAGGACTCCCCATGTCCTTCCCACTCCTGTCCTGACCCATGGACCTGCCTGACTCCAGCTCCTGGTGCAACAAGTCTTTGCTGGTGGCTATTGTCTGAAAGAAGGCAGCTGGTGGAAGATCCTGGAAAATATGGGCCTTTCCCACCACTGAAGTCAATCCCTGGACCCTGGAGAGCTGCTGGGCTCCCCAGAGCAGAGATATGTTTGCCTCCAGATGCTACTACAGCTCCACAGGGACTGGTGGAGGCAGTCTGGGCCACTCTGGGTGACAACTTCCCCACACATGGTCCCTGGAAGTCCTCAGATGTGTTCCCATGCCCTCGTGCAGCCCCTGTGTGAAGGGTCCCTGAGGGGTTGTCCAGATTTCCCTGCTGCTGGACCCAGCAGCCCCCTGCAGCAGTGATGTGCATGCTATAGGACAGGCAATGCGCTGGTCCAGTTGCCACCTGTCCCCCAGCTTCAGAATAGAAATGGATCAGCTGCTAAAAGCAGATAGATCCTAAATCATCCTTGCTCTGTCCCAGCTTGCCTGCGCTCCCACGGAGCTGCTAGATGGCTAGGTGGAACTGGCATTTCAAGTGTTTCCTGGGGCACTGTGCTGCAGCTTGGTGAAAGGACACAGGGCACAGTGCTCAGGGCTGCACGTTGCCACCACAGTGGGCAGGGGGGATGCTGAGGTCTGATGCTGCCCAGAGTCAGGAGATAAGCCTGACACAAAGGGTGAAGCCAGCAAAAGGGAGTGGGCAAGGCAGGAAACACCAGGCAGGAGAGGAAACAGGGAGATAATGAGCTGCACGAGCACAAACATCCAGAACTTGTGCAAAGGAAAAGCCAACACTGCTTGGCAAGCATTTGAGCAGCAAGACCTGCCTGTCTGGCCCCTCACTGAGGCTTCTTGAGGAATACATTTCCTGGAGCACCTTAATATGCTCAGGCATCCCTGGCCTCCAAGTTACCATGGCTGGCATTGTCCCTGGCAGCTCAGATCCAGCATGGGCTCCTGGAGGTCTTGGAGGGTGGAAGTATGGGCTTCTGGGGAGCAGCTGGCCTCACTTGTGATGGCAAAGCCCTCACCAAGGGTGATTCCCAGTTGCAGAGGTCCAAATTGCGTTGTCCTGTCCCAGTCTTCTGGTGGCTTGAAAAATGGGATCGACTGACCTGCTGCTACTTGGCTCTGCAGGGCAATTGGCCTGCTGTCCTGGCACCTGAAGGAAAGACCACTGCACTACGAGCTGATGCTCATTGTGCTTCAACATCCAGCAGCCTCTCGAGGTTTGTTCTCATTCCCAGCAGCTGGGCTTCTAGTTAATGCCAGAGTGGACTTCACCTGCAGAGCTTCCCATTCCTCCTCCCACCACCTTTGGCACACAGGGCTACCCATGTCCTGCCCATGCTGTGATGTCCCAGTTCCCAGGGGGCTGGAAAGAGATACAGATTTATCAGCCTCCTGAGCCACAGCATGATCATGGGGGTCTATAAGCTGCCTGCAAGAAGTGGTGGGATCCCTGGCATAGCTCTTCTCCCAGGATCCCGCATGTGGCATGGGGCAGAGGTGAGAAACATGGAGAGAGATGGGCATGAAGCCAACCCACAGTGACTGGCTGGCCTCCAGCAGGAGAACCTCTGCCAAGGGGCTGGAAGAGCATTCAGTAGAGGCTTGACCATGTGTCCGAGCCATGCTGGGCTGAGCACAGCCATACAGCTGCAGGATCAGACCCTTCACCCATGCTCCTGTCCCTCAGCTGTTCCTCACAAGGGATTTCTCTCCTGCTGCCATCGCAACGCTGACAAATGCCTGGGGAGGTGCACAGGTGAGCACTGACTCCTCTGGCCACAGATAAGAGCTGGGAAAGAAAAGAGCAAAGACAAGTGAGCATTTGTGTAGGAAATCAGTTGGTTGGGAAAAGCCCAGGTGGTTCAGAGCTTCTCCAAGGATGAAGCAGCCCTCGGCTGGGACAGCAGCACTGCTCCCCATCCCCAGCATGGCTCGGTTTGTTTGGGCAGATGCTGAGCGCAGGAGGAGAAAGCCAAGGCCAGCGCCTCCCTGCTGGCGAGCACCTGTGCAGCAGTACGTGCCTCGCGTGGGTACAGCTCCCCACAGCCATGCTGGCAGCGCCGGCTCCCAAGAGCCTCGGAAAGCACTGCATGGGCTTGGAAAAGTGCTTGTCAGCCTGGCCACGGAGAAGACAGCGGGCTCCAAACAGCCTCAGGGCTTGGCCCAGCCAGGTTAGGGGTGGCATTAGCCAGGGATGGGGTAGCGGAGCCCCAGCTGCAGGAGAGAAGTGGGAACCAGGGTGGACCCAGGTGTCCCAGCTCCTGTAATTGTTCCAGAAAGGACCTGCCCATTCATTATGGAAAGCACCTGTGGAGTAAGGCCTTTCCATCTAGGGATGCTCCCAGCACCCCTGAACTTCACAGGGGCATCTTACCTCTCCTCCTATCCCTTGCTGGGCACGTGGGCTGCTTGGGATCCCCAAGAAGGCGGTACAAGGAGCCAGGGCACACACTCACAAGCTCTGGCTGTGCTGCTACCTCCAGCCACGGGCATCCTGTCCCCAAACCCAGGCTGGCACCCAGGTTGCAGACACTCCCTGCTGTCCAACTTCCCAGCTCCTCAAAAGTCTCAGCTACCAAACTGCCACTGGCTTGGGAGAAACTGGAGCCAGTGAGGAAGAAAGTGAGGCGCCTCTGTCCCTCTGGGTCTGGCCTTTTCTGTCTGTACCCCTCCTCAGAGCGGGGGCTTGACTGGCAGCACCAGCTTTGCTGGGAATCTTGAGGCCATGCCACCACTCTGCACAGGAGCCCTCCCATTTCCCAACCAGGAGCACACATGCTGCAGTGTCCCCACGCAGGCTTCACCTCCCCAGGCAGACAGAGCATCGGGACAGACTCCTGGGTTATTTTTTTGCAGGGGCCAGCTCCAGGCCAGGGCAGAGACAGTCTCATGGGGAGCATTGCAGCTGGGAGAAGGCACAGGTACTAATCGACTTTATTAGCAATGTGAAGGCAGAGATCACAGAGGCTGCCCTGTACGCCTGGTGGAGTCCCAAGCAGGCTGAGCATCCTGGTGATCCAGGGAGAGTCCCCTGGCACTGTAGGGTCCGTCGCAGGGACAGAGAGTGGTCACCAAGGAATAGCTTTACCTTCCCAGTTGAGCAGAGCCCCACTGTGTTTCTCGGAGAGGATCGGCAGTACAGACAGCAGCCCCCGCACACTCGTGTCCACCGTCAGGTCAGCCTGCAAAGGGCACAAATGAAGAGCAGGACCGAGACACCACCGTCATTCTTGGCCATCTGCCAGCACCCACTCAGCTTGTGCTCGTCAGCAGCAAGGCTCCTTCCACGCAGACGAGCCCGTTACGTGGGAGGATGGTCGGATATCTGCACGCTCACTGATGGCTTGGATGGAGGTGGTTTGGGCTGGGAAGCCAGCTACAGGGTTAACCCAATAGGACACATAAAAGATCCCTGCTGCAAGCAGGATGCTATGTGCAGCCTTCTTAAAACTCCAGGGTTGCAGGGACCACCCCCACCTCAAAACAGGGGTCCTGCAGGATGAGTGGAGACCTTATGGACCTGCAGCTCTTCGAGGAAGGGGGCACAGGAGGGGATGGTGCTGCTCCTCTCCTCTCTGCTCTGTCAGATTCAGATTCTCTGCCCAAAGCCCTTTCCCCCCTGAACAGGACTCCTGCTCACCCTGGATATGTGCTGATGCTACTTCCCAGGCAGCACCCACACGTTCTACAACACAGACGCAGGCAACTTGCAGCCCAAGAGGCAGCTCATTCTTAGATAGAAGGGATCTATCTCCCAAGAGCCATCCCAGCCATCTGAGGCACCTCCAGCACCAGTGCAAGTTCACAGGCTTGGGTCCCCTCCTTGACCCACCCAGTTGGCACTCACCTCCTGGCTGCCCATGTCAGTTTTCACCCAGCCAGGGTGAAGTGCCACGCAGAGGATCCCGGCTTCCCTGTAGGTCAGAGCCTGGCACTTGGTAAGCATGTTGAGGGCAGCCTGGGGGAGAAAGGAAGTATCAGCCATGGGCAGTAGAAAGCATGCACCAGGCTCCCCTCCCTTCACTGCCTCATGGTGAGGGAGAAAAAGCAATGCCAGGTCTTCGAGAGAGAGTGCGTGTCTCCCCTAGGTGGGCAGCAGCTGGGCATGGAGATGCCCAGGGAGCCTGGGCTGTGATCAGCACGGATCAGCCCCTCCATCTCATGATCTCAGGTGCTTCCCTGAGATCAGGCCTGGCAAGGGGCAGCTTTGACTCCCACCAAGTTCAAGAGCACAGGCAGGTCCCCAGCCTCCATACCTTGCTGCAGCGGTAGGAGACGACAGGCTTGAAGAAGGACTCAGGAGTTTTCTCGATGGACCCCATGATGGTGGAGATGTTGATGATGGCTGCCTTGCTGCAACTCAGTCCCTTTTCTATGCTCTCCTGGGCAGCCTTCTTCAACAGAGGCAGGAACGCCTGGGGAGAAGCAACCTTGTGGGATGTCTGTGCCTCGAGCCAGCCCCACTTACGGCAACTGCAACCCAGCCTGACATGGCAGGGAGGATGAGGAAGAACAGAGGGAAGCCAAGAGAGCCTGGGTGTTTTGCTGCAGTGGCTCTGCCTGCTCCCAGTTAGCCCAGCACAACATAGGAGGGCTACGGAGGGCTTGGGCTGGGAGCACAGCTCTAGCACTGACCCCTCCCTCCCACAGCTCCGGGAAATTTGGCAATGCCCTTCGAGATCTCCATCATGACCACAGACAGCCCGGGCTACCCTCAAACTGGGCTAAATTCCCGCTCTGTGGTTAGCTCGAACCCCAGAGCTTCATCCATACCTGGGCCATCAGCATTGGCCCCACCGCATTGGTCTTGTATGTCTTTATCATGTCTTCAGTGTCTACTGTCTCCAGCGACGATGACGGGGTGTAGATGCCAGCGTTGTTTATTAGCAGGTTCAAGCCCATGCCGTTCAGCTTCCCCTCCACAATCTTCGCTGCATCAGTAATCATAGAGGGATTTGCAACGTCTGGAGTGGAAAAGAACAGGGTTTGAAAGCCATGGGGTCCACCTGGGGGGCCTGGGGAGGAGGGGGAGATTTAAGATGCTGAGGAACAGCTTTGCATCCCGACCTGTGCGATCTTCCATCCGTGGGCACCAGATGGTGCTGTGCAACCAGCTCAGATCACACCAGCACCCACAAGCGCCAACTCATCCCAAAACCGCCTCCTTTGCCATGCACAGGGTGCCCCACTACTAGCAGCTTGAAGGTCCCTGCCCTGGGGCAGCCCACCAGGCAAAGCCACTCTGGGGACAGCCCCGTGGTGGCAAAGCAGTGCTGTGCCTCCCATGCTGTGTCAGGCACCAGCAGCCACAGCCTCCCATCAGCAGACAAAGTCCATGCCTGGGCAAGCTCTGGAGAACCCAGGGCAGTCTTGGGGGGGTTGTTAGTGCCCACAGGGGCTGTGCTGGGACTTGCTGCGGGTTGGCTCTGCAAGGTCCTACAGCTCCTGCCCAGGCTCTGGGCCGACTGCACAGCATTTCAATGGGAGCTGCTGTCCTCCCGGAGCCGTCCGGGTCTTGCCTGGGCCTTGGGATCAAGGCAGCTCAGCCGCGGGGCAGAGCAAGGAGGAGCATCTGGGTGGCTAGAGGAGCTGGAGGCCACCCAGGATGGGTCTCAAGAACCTCCCGGTCCTGTGGCCACAGAGCAAGAAGGCTCCAGGGAATGGGGTACTGGGGCTGAGATGGATCTGGAGAAGCTGGGCTTTTGGCAGCAGGACTTAAAGCAGCTCTGAAGAACTGGATCCCCACATAGAGCCTGAAGGCAGGGAGGGAGAGAAGGAGAAACAGGGCAAGTGTGGCCAGTAGCCACAAATTTACCAGCTCAGAGGCACAGCACACCTACCCAGCTTCACAAGAACCAGGTTTGGGTGTTTGGATGCCAGATCTCTCAGCTCCTATAAAAAGAGACATGGAAAGAATCAGTGTGAGGCAGAGGAGATGCCAAGCATCATCCTGTGGCACCAGTGATGGTCCACCCTGAGGGATGTCTTCCAGATGTTACTCAGTGCTCATGAATGGGTGGACTGAGGACCTGCCTCAGCTCTCAGGCTTCTTCTAGGCTCCATAAAGCAACATGCACATGCTCAGAGCATGACACGGCCACAACTGCAAGATACTACGGCCACTCTCCCAAAGAGTTTACATGTACAACCCAGCCAGAGCCACAGCAAAGGATGAAAGCAAACTATTAAGGACCAATTCACCCAGGAAATGATTCAAACTGGCCAGGGATACAGCCAGAAGTGTCTCCCAGAGGCTGCTGGAAGTGAGATACAGGAGGAATGGCTGTGAGTACCAGCATCAAACTTGATGTCTGGGGAAGTCCCATGTGGATTCAAATAGCCCAGTCCCAGGATTCACTCTGCTCTGGACACTATGTCTCATGCACTCAAGTAAAATGAACCACTGTGCATGTATTTATTGATTATTTTCACCAAATGCGGAGGATTCAGAAGCCCTTTCCAAAAAGGAACCTTTCAACCGCACAGTTCCTAGCAGCTCTTTGCTCTGAGCCTCCTTCAACTATAGCAGGTCTTAGACAACAGAAACCAAAACACCATATTCAATGTGTCCAAAATGATTGTTTTTAGAACTAAAAACCGCTTACAAATAAGCCCGCAGAGAACCCTACAGGAGAAACGCAAATTGGTGGCTTCTTGTGAGGGGACCCGTCCTACCAACATGGAACAGGAGAGCTACTGGCACTGGCAATGGCCCACCTTCAGTTTCCCCACCAGGCCCCATGTTCCCACATTCCACCTCAGCACAGGAAATTATGGAAAAGTCCATCTATATGGTTTGTGATGTCTGGCAGACATTCCTCTTCCCCTCTTTTGCCCAGCTGCTGGCCTCAACAGCCTCACACCATCCCAGTGTGAGTCCAGCCTCACCCAGCCCAACATCTGCCCCAGGAGCAGAGGGGCAGGAAGAGCAATGTGGCTCCTGGGGTGGCACCAGCCAGAAGGAGGGTCACTCTGCCCTCCGTCTCCTGTGCTTGCGGACTTCAGCAGCAACATCCTGAAGATGCTGCGCTCACCCTACCACAGCTGGACAAGGCTTAGAGAAGCATCCCCCAGTTGAGAGCGATGCATGTGGATCATCTTGGGAGGAAACTGGTTCCAGTCCATCCCTGCAAAAAGTCCTCTGATCTCATCATTGTGCAAGCCCGGCAGGTTGCGGTTGGAAGAACAGGTCAAAAACAAAGAGACCTGAGCTAGCTTTGGCTCAGCCAGCTTGGGCACCAGCAGCCCCAGGAGCTGGGCACCCCTGGGCTGGCGGCAGGGTGGATTCTCACTGCACTGGGATCACTCCTGAGCCAGAATAATGCTGGCAGCGAGCACATGAAGAGCATCTCAAGATCTTCGTAAGGTGTGATCCCTGCATACAGCCAAGCTGCGAGAAGATGCAGCAAACAAATCAGCTGGAGCCAGGATCTATCAGAGAGCAAAGTCTCCCCCCTGGTATTTCAGTGGGTTACACTCAGGAGAGGAAAACCAAAGCTAGGCCTAAGGAAAGCTGTGAGGATGGTGATGCTTTGCTCCTGTGATCTGCTGAAGTGAGTCTCTCCCATTTTAGGGAAGTGGAAAGCAGGGGCAGGAGGATCCTACAGCTCCACGGGCCACCAGTTAAGGAACCCCCTGATTTTGCAGAGACATGTCGCAGCACTGGCCAGAGAAGCATCCCCCCCCCCCCCCCCAGCCACAACCACTGAGCCCAACCCTACTCTGAGCCAACTCTGGAAGAGCCCGCACCATGCCTGCGGCACATGGGCGAAGGCTTGGCACAGGAAGGGCGGCTGGGGCACAGCCAACCCAGCCTCAAATAGCCTGGCAGCGCGGTTTGAAGGGTGCCACGGCTTATTCTTCAGCCCAAGCGCAGCGCAGACCTTCAGAGGACTTTCACACCGGTCAGGGCACGGTGCAAACCCGAGCTCACCTGCAACCGCAACGGTTTATTTTCAATGGTGGAGCTAACCGAGCGCGCCACCCCA